AGGAGGTCCCCCGAGGAGTCCCGTCCACACAGACAGAGGGGAGAGGGTGGGAGCCGGGGCTGGGGCAGGGGGTGGGGAGTCCGTGCTTCGTGGGGACAGAGTCTCTGTGTGGGGAGATGGAACGTTCTGGAGACGGAGGGTGGGGGTGGTGGCACGATGTCCTTATTGCCACTGGAAATGACTAAATGGTACATTGTATATGATATATATTTTATCACAATGAAAAAACAAAACCTCCCTCACAAGAACGGGGACTTCATCTTGTTCCCAGAACCTGGCACACAGTAGGTGCTCAAGTCATGTTTGTTGAGCAGACCAAAGAGGGAAAGAGGTCATCGGTCCACAGCAGATGGAGAGATAGGAGGAGACAGAGGGAAAGCATGTTGAAGCCTGAAGCCAACACCTTCTCCTTTGTCTATAAATCATGCTTCAAAGCAGTGGTTCTCAACTGGGGGTGATTCTGCACCCCCCAGGAGGTGTTCAGTGATGGTGGAGACATTTTTGGCTGTCATGACTAGGTGGAAGGGGGACAGCTATTGCAGCTAGTGGGTGGAGGCCAGGGATGCTGCTAAAGATCCTGCAATATACAGGACAGCCCCCCCCCCCACAGCAAGGAATCATCCCGCCCCAATATCAACAGAGCTGAGAATGAGAAACCAAGTTTTAGAGGCACCTCCTCCTGCAAGCCCTCCTGGATTGACACCCCCCTTCCTTTCTCCCTTTTGCAACACCAGGAGAGATTGATCAGGTGGGGTGAGCCCAGGGCTGTGCCACCAGGATGGGGTCAGGGTCAGGGTGGAAATGTTCCTTCATCACATTTGCTTTGGACACGGGGCCCTGTCCCAGGTGCTGAGGTTCTAAGTTTAGTGGGGTGGATGAGGCTCCTCTCTGCACAGAGCACAGGTGAGGGGCATTGGGGATCAGAACATCCTTGGGGGTGAGTCGGGGTCGAGCAGGGTCAGGGCTGGGGCTGGGGTGGGAACCCACCTGGGGATCGTTTATGGTTGTTGCCGGACCCCTGACTCGTTCCTATGGATCCAGGTCTGTGATGAGCAAGGGGCTGCCCCAGGCTCAAGGATCCCAAACCTGAAAGAAGAACTGACACCCTCAGATCGGGGCCCACATCCGCACGGTTTCCTGTTTTTCCCTTAAAGTGAACAGAGCAGTGGGTTGATACCACAGAAAGGAAGAGGGAGGGGTCAATCGCATGACAGCGTTGCTGCAGCCCCCCCCCCGCCCCGCCAAGTAGGGGAGTGGAGATTTCACCCCCAAAGCATCCTCTTGTCTAAGCCGAGTCTTGGCAGGGACCCAGCATCACAGGAGCTGCTGTGCCCCCGGAAGGACACGGTGGGGATAGTGGGCAGCCGTGCAGACGGGGGCCCGAGCGTGGGGCCTGCAGAGCTCCCAGAAGCTCAGAAACACCAAACTGCATCCCCACCCCGTCCTCCATTCATCACACTCGCTACCCTATCCTGTTTCTTCGCTGCGACCCAACAGGGAATGTTCCCAAACTTTCTCCTCTTCCTTCCTTCCTGTGTCCTCATCACTAGGACAGCCCCATTGTCCATCAGGGACTCCAGCTGAGACCCAGCCAATTTTTACAGCATCTTCTGAGTACCTCCCCCTGCCCACCTCCCCCATTGCCAGGCCGGTCTCTTCCCAAAACAACCTGCTTCTCTTCATTCCCACAGCCGCCGCCCCAGACACACCTCCTCCGGCACCTGGGCCAGGTGACAGCTCCCCAGTGTCCCCACCCCTACCTGGTCCCCATGACAACACCCAGGGTCCCCCCACCCAAGCCTCCTGCTGCCTTATGTCTACCCCCAGTGACCTCTCTCTCTGGTGCCCACCTGACAACTCTCTTCCCTACTTAAAATGACCATACTGGAGCGCCTGGGTGGCTCAGGCGGTTAAGCCTCTGCCTTTGGCTCGGGTCATGATCCCGGGGTCCTGGGATGGAGCCCCGAATCAGGCTGTTTGCTCAGCCGGAAGCCTGTTTCTCCCTCTCCCACTCCCCCTGCTTGAGATGTCTCTCTCTCTCTCTCTGTGTGTGTCAAACAAATAAATAAAATCTTAAAAAAAAATAAAATGACAATCCTCTGTCAGTTGGCCAATCATGCAATGGATCCGAGTCCCCACGATTAGCCCAGATCAAGGTTGAGAGGGACAGTCAGGGGCCCTGAATACACAGCCTCAACCCAACAGTCATTCAGTCAATAGACATGTACTGAGGGCTGCCCTTCGGTGCTGAAAACATAGTGTGACGGACAAGGGAGACATTTCAGCCAGGCCCCTCCCCAGCCCGGTCCTGGCTGGGAAGTGGGACACAGGGGCCCGGGCAGGTGTCTTCCCATCCAGGGGTGGGGGCTGGGCACGAAAATGTATCCTCTGATGCTTAACCATCTTCCCAGTCTTGTTCTCCATACATTTTCGGGAGGAAGAGCAGGGTGTGAGGTGTCAAGAAGGAGGCCCCATAAATACAAGGCCAGGTGCATGGTGGTTAGAGCTGCAGACTTGGGACCCATGCTGCCTGGGTTCAAATCCTGGTTTTGCCATTTATGAGCTGTGTGACTTCGGGCAAGTTACCTAACCTCTCTGTGCCCCACATCCTTCACCAATAAGGCAGCGTGAAGAACAAAGGCATCTACTTCGCAGAGTGTTTGTGGACATTAAATTGCTGTCCTAGGACATTGGGCACTGAACCCAGTTTCTGCTGCTGCTAAAGTCAACTATGTAACGAAACTGTCACTATTTGACCGAGATGTTATGTGACCTCCTGGATCTTTCTAGTCACTTGGGTTCAGTCCCAACTCTACCAGTTACCTCCTGCAGCGCTCTGGGAATGCAAGTTAGCACCTCTGAACCTGCGTTGGCTCACCTGAGTGATGGAGAGAGCTATTAATAGTATGGACTTTACCGGGTTGTGGGGAACACCAGGGGAGGCCATGTGTATGATATGGTTAACCAGGTGGTGAGCCCATAATTAGGTCTGTGAAAATAGAAGCTGTGGGTGGGTGTGCTTTCAGAAGAAACTCTCTCTCCCAGGTTAGGCTCACCGTGGCCTGCGGCCCCACAGGCCTCTCCAGTCAACCCCGACAGGCCGGGAAAGCGACGCGCTCACAACTCAGGTGAGTGCAAGATAGGCATGAGTGTGTGAGTGTGTGTGAGTGTGTGTGCACATAGGTGACCCTCTGTGCGCGTGTGGGGCTGGCCCTGGGAAGTGGACAGGAAAGGCTCCCTGGAAGAAGTGACCTCCAGGCTGAGTCTTGAGGGATGCGCAAGGGGAGTTCTGCATGAGGGAAGGGCGGTGGGTGGTGGGCAGCATGGACGGGATCGCTGGAGGTGCGGGGTCCTGGGTTGGGGAAGTAGAAGTCAGCGCCTGGCATGATTGCAAAGAACAGATGAGCCTGGGGGGTGTGCTGGGGGTTGATCGCAGGGGGAGGTGGAGAGCCATGGAAGGGCGGAAGCAGGGCTGGGAACTCTGGTGTTAGATAGAGGGCCTGGCGTCAGGCCTGGTGTCAGGTTACCAGAAGACACCTACCAGGAGGTCGTGTCCCCCCTCCCCCCCGTGGTTGAGCAAATAGGCTCTAATGTCACATGTCCTGGGTTCAAGTCCCAGTCCCACCACTGTGTGACATGGACGAATGACTTTCTTGGTGCCTCAATTTCCCCAGCGCCCCACCAGTAGGTTAACCGAGCAGCAACTGTGTGCCAGGGCCTCGCACACCGAAACCCCCAGTTGACAGATGAGCCAATTAGGCTGCGCCTTCAGGGAGAAGCCAGGACTCAGCCCCAGGTCTGTCCAACGTGGGTTCACGCAGGTTGGGCGGCGGGATGGTGACACTTCTGGCTTCTTCCACGAAGGCGAAAGATCCAGTTTGAGCCGCCATTAATCAGAGCCTGGTCACCACACGTCTCCACTTCTCCAAGGCTCAGAGAGGGGAAGCGACTTGCCCAGAGTCATACAGCAAGAGAGACAGCCTGTAACCTCAGACAAGAGGCTTGTCTGACCCCCAAACCCACAGTCTTTGGCACAGTCTTTAAAGTCAAGAGACTTTTTAAAGATTTATTTATTTATTTGAGAGAGAGAGAGACAGCGCACACAAGCTGGGGGAGGGGCTGAGGAAGAGGAAGAGACTCTGAAGCAGACTCCCCACTGAGCCCGGAGCCCAACCTGGGGCTCGATCTCACAAGCTTGAGATCATGACCTGAGCCGAAACCGAGAGTTGGACACCCACCCGGGCGCCCCAGGGTCAAGAGACTCTAAAGATGCTTTGGGCACGTTGGCAGGTCTGGTGGCAGAGATTCTGCACCTCCCAGCAGGAACGGGCACACAGTCGATGCCTCATAAGTGTTTAGGATCCGAGGACCCACTGTGTGCATGGGGCATCTCGCTGAAAGCCTCACACACATTATTATCTCATTTGATCCTACCACGATCTCCTGAGTTGGGTGCGGTCATCATTCCCATTTTATAGAGGGGAAACTGAGGCTCAGAAAGATGGAGTCCCAGGCCAAGTTTGCACAGGCAGCAATAGCAACAAGCTGATTCTATTTGTGGTGCTATGTGCCGGGCCTTGTTCAGAGCACTTTACATATTCATGAGAAGCACATCACGGCCCTTAGGCATAGGTATTATTAACATAGGCATTTTATGGATGAGGAAGTTGAACGAATGACTTTCTTGCCACGTTTATCAAGCACTTGCTGTGTACTTTGCATGTGCTGGACTCCGGGGTGCCCACCTCTGGTCTCAGGCCTGTGACCCTCCATACCACCTGCATCTCCCAGTTAAATGCAACATTGACTCCTGGACATGGATTAAACAAAATCAGCCAATGGTCACTGAGCTCCTCAAGTCCCACATGCTGTCTGGAGCCTGACATCTACCCTTCCTGCTCATTAGAACCCAGATCCCGGCCGGAACGATTACCTATTAAGTAGACTGCTTTGTCTGGTGGTGAGCAGCCTGTCACTGGGACAATCCAAGCAAGACTGCCATGGAGGAGCATTCGTACTCAGGTGAGAGGAGTCTCTGGAGCTGACACTGGCAAAACCAAGCACCTGACCTCCTACCTTTCACCCAGGAGTGGAGAGGGGCTCCTGGGTCTCTCTCTGGGAAGAAGGCCCAGCCAGAGGCCAGGGGGAGGTGAGCCCCGACTGGCCTTCTGGGAACAGAGCCAGGCAGGAGAGGGAAGCCACAGAACCCTCCCTTCCCTGACTCAACGCCCTCCAACAAAAAACCCCCACTCCAGCTGGTGTGCTGGGAGCCGGATAGAATTAGAAGTCAAGTAGAACAGGGACTCAGAACAAGGGGAATTCGGCGTGATGAATCCTCACAGCCAGGATGAGGGGAGGGGACCTGGACCCATGGTGGGGCCACAAGGTAGAGTCTTGGGGGACCCAGGGATTGGGGTGAGGCCCCCGGGGGGTCTGACATCCAGGGAAAAGGCTGGGGAAGAGCTTGGATATTGAGGAAGAACTGAAAGCCGATGTCCTGAGTTCGGGCCAGGCCCAGGGTGAGGGCTGGGGGTCCAAGGGGAGGGAGGACCCAGCTTTCTGGGCATGAGGCTGGCAATCGAGCATGGGCGTGTGGGCGGGTAACTGAACCCATGGAAGGGAAGAGGACCATGGTGAGAGCTGGGTGGGGGCTGGCCATCTGATGAGGGGCCGTGGAGGAGGGGTCTCAGCTCCTGGTCCTGGGCCCATCTTTCTGGACAGTGGCCTGGCCCCCAGTCAGGCTTGCTGACTACTGGGGCGCGGGCAGAAGGAGTGGCAGATGTGGGGCTGGATGGCGGGAGGGACAGAGTCAAAGAGGCACGGATGCAGAGAGGGGCAAAGTCCGGGGGTGGGGTGCCCAGTGGTGGGTATGACAGACAGCAGGGAAGGCATGCAGAGGAGGCTGGGGGTCCTCTGAGACCCACTGCCTTAGTGTGGGCTCTGGACAGGCTCCCAGGACTTAGGGGCTCTGGGTGATGGGGAGACAGCAGTTGAAGCCCAGTCTCAACCTTGCTTCCCCCTCTGGTGCTCTCCCCAGACCCAGCAGAGTTCCCAAAGTTTTCCAGAAGGCGGCGATGCTGTGGGCAGAGGGTGCAGCTGGTGCTGGTGGGGCTGGCGACCACCCTGCTGTGGGCCGGGCTGCTGACCCTGCTTCTCTTCTGGCGTGAGGATACCCTCGGCCCCATGCTGTCTCCCTCTTGTGTTCCCTCCCAGAAGCCCACTTTCCGACCCCGGGGAGCCCAACACACCCCTTGGAGTCCAATTTTCCCAGCGTGTCTCCCGCCTTGACCTCACCGGCCCCCTCCCAAGCCCCTTCTGCCCACCCTTGAGAGCTCCCCACCCCGTCCAGCACCCCTGTCTCCTGCCCTTTCCACACCTCCCGCACAGTATGCCCAAGGCCTCCAACCCCAGCTGACAGGTGGGTTGTGGGGGGGGGCGCACCTGGAAACCCATCTCCTCCCCTCCTCTTCTCTCCTCCCCAGACTGGGACACTGTGCAGAACCTGAAACAGCTAGAAGTAACCGCCGCCCAGAACGGTATGGAGGGGCCAAGGCAGGGGAGGGGCTCTCTTGTCCTGCTTCTGCCACTGACCACTGTGGGACGTGGGAGAAGGGCTGGGCTCTGGTGTCCCCCCCCCCCGCTGGCCCCGGAACTGAGGGTCAGCCTGCATTTCCCCCTCCCCTGGGGGTGAAAACCCAGAGACTCTTGGAGGGGAGGGGGCACTGAGAAGTGCCTGATGGAATGCTACGTAATTGCTCCAGGCCTCAGTTCCCTCACCTGCAAAATGGGCATCATTTCAGGGCTACCACGGCAGAAACAAGCTAAGCCTATGAAGCACTTAGACCCTTGTCCAGTGAGCTTTCAAGAAATGCCTGTTGCATTTACGTTTCCTTCTGGGTGGGGGGAGGGACAGGTGTTCATTCTATTCTGGTCTGTATTTTCCTGAGTACTCTTGCCCCAAAAATGAAAAATGAAAAGCTTCAGGCCCTGTGACCATGTGAGGGGGTCCTGCACTTGGGGCGGGGGAGGGGAGCGATTCAGGAACCTGCCTTCCTGGCCCCTGAAGACACATCTTCTCTCCTGCCGCCCCAGTCTCTCGGGTTGCCAAGGACTTGGAAAGACACAACGGGGACCAGATGGCCCAGAAAGCCCAGGGTGAGGGATGTCAGCTCGGGTCTAGGAGGAGAGGGGTTGGGGTGGGGAGACCTGGATTAACTTGTGGGCACAGTGCACTACAAAATGACCCTGAAGACATGGGGGGCGGCGGGGGGATGGGAGACTGGGGAGGGCCCTGAGGACTGGCTTACCACTGAGCCTCCTCCCCTGCAACCAGCTGCCCAGGTGTCACAGAACATGGAGGAAATCCAAGCTGAACAGAAGAGAATGAAAGCTCAGGGTGAGAAATTGGGAGGGGGGAGTTCTAGAGCTGGGAGGGACCAGTGGCTGGGGGCTCTGGGACTCCCAACCCTGACACCAGCCCACCCCCATCAGACTCTGAGCTCTCCAGGAGCCTGGAAGGACTTCGTTCGGACCTGAGCAACCTCAAGTCCCTGAGTGAGCCTTGGGAGGGGATGGGGGGGTGGGTGGGGGGTGCTGCAAGTTTGTCTCTGACCGCTATCCCCCACCCAATCACCCAAGGCTTGAACGAGAGACACACAGCCTTACATTCACTGGAAAGACTCCAGGAGGAGGTGGTGAAGCTGTGGATAGAGCTACACACGTCCAATGGTGAGTTGCTGTGTTAGGCCATGCGTGTGACAACACAGGTGTGTGGTGATGTGCATGTGAATGTGTGGTAGACGTGTGCACGTGACAACGTGGATGGGTGTGTGGCAGGGTCCATGGGGGACACACAAGAGTTTCTTTCTGAGTCCAGCTTCTTCCCTCTACGGACCTCGAGCAGGTGGGGGGGGCGGGGGGCGCTCGAACACTTTTTTCCTCTTCCAGGTAAAAGCATTGTTTGCCATCTCTGGGTTCTCTTTCTCTCTCCCTCCTCTGCCCATTGTGGCTCAGCAGAGAGTCATCAGCACGATGCCCTCAGCCACGGCCCTCCCGGAAGACTGTCTGACCCAACCAGGGGGGACAAAGGGGGTCACCTCTGCAGCGATGGGGGTGATGCTGGTGGTCATGAGGGTCGGGGGGCCGCGCAGAGGAAGAGCAGACATTCGATCAGTGTGCCTTTAACCTGGGATAGGAACCTGGGTGTTACTGCCCTGATGTCCTCCCCACCCTCACCCCTACCCTTGATTTTTGGTTTTCCACCTCTGGGAAGCCCCAGCGGCCCCAAATGGCAAAGAAAAGAGGAAGGCTCTGTGCTTGGTGTGAAGGAGTGCAGTCCCCTGGGACACTGTGTGGCTGTGGGAATCTCAACAAGAAACCCGGCTGTGGTCCCTCTGGGGAGGGCTCTGGACCACATTCGCTCTGATGGATGACCTTCCAATTCCTACCCAGTCCCTGGGGTGGCCTGGGGTCTGAGACCAGCTGCAGGGCTGTCTCTCGATGACTACGCAACACACAGCCAGGGCACTTTCCTCGAAGTTTTCTTCCCCCCAACCAAAGATTTTATGTCTTTATTTATTTGAGAGAGCGAGAGCGAGAGCTTGAATAGGGGGGAGGAGCAGAGGGAGAGGGACAAGCAGACTCTGTGCTGAGCACACAGCCTGATGCGGGGCTCGATCTCATGACCCTGAGATCATGACCTGAGCAGAAATCAAAAGTAGGACGCCCAATTGACTGAGCCACCCAGGCGCCCTACCCTTCAAAATTATCTTCAAGTGCCCAGAGATACTCTCTTCCTGTTTTAATGTGCCCCGCCCTGCCCCCACCCCCGCACCAAGGGCCACATACGGGTCACTGGTTCGTGTGTGAGAAACACATCCAGCTTTGTTCCTCACAGAGGTTGTGGACCCCAGGCCCCTTAAAAACTTCCCCGAAAGCTATGGAGCCTTCTCTGCACATCAGTCCAAGAAAATCTATTTTAAATCAAGAGCTGGTCAACCCAGTAGCAGTGGGTTTAACCTCACACCTGGGAGTGCTGGGTGGTGGCAACAGTGCCTAAGAGCTTCCTCGGGGTGGGTGCAAGAGGAGACAGAGACCAAGGTGGCCCAAGGTCGAGGCCAGGCGGACCCAGCCCTCCATAAGTTCTCCCGATCAATCCCTCCAACTAGACAAAGATCATCTCCGTTTCCCCAAACGTGGCAAGAGTCTGGTTTTGGGGGTGCTGGTAGCAAGGATGACCAGGGCTGTTATCGGAGCCGATGGTGGGGACAAGACACGGGGAAAGCAATGCTGCAATCTTGGCCCCACCACGTCGGCAGTGGCATTGGCCGTGGTGGCGGCAGTGGAGAGACGTTGCCGGCAATCCTGGGTCCCTCTGGTGATGATGGTGATGACGAAGGTGTCGCTGGCCGGGCTTGGCGTTCATTGCCACGGTGTTGACCGTGAAGGTGTTTGCGGTGCTGACAAACCACACTTGGTGGCTGAGGTGCCACTGGCCGTGGAGCAGATGACATGGGGATGCCAGTGGTGACTGGTCCACTGCTGACTGTGGGTCTCTTTGTGGGGATGGTGCTGGCGGAGGCTGAGGTGCTGCTGGCCTTGATGTTGGGTGTCCATGGTGGGCACTCTGCTCCAGTGGGGGTCTTCGTGGCAATGGTGTGGGCTGTTGAGCTCCTCCTGCCAGGGAGCACATTGGCATCAGAGCTCCGGAGAAGGCAGCCTGCAAGACTTTGTTAGGCTCTGGGGTGGGTCTGCTTTCAGCCCGGACCGCAGGGGTGACTCCAGGAGAGATGCTGCCACACACTCTGCCTATCGAACCCACGGTGCCAGCCACAGCACCAGCCACGGCGTCCACCACAGCGCCAGCCACAGTGCCAGCCACAGCATCCACCACGGTGCCAGCCACAGCATACACCACAGTGCCAGCCATGGCATCCACCACGGTGCCAGCCACAGCATCCACCATGGTGCCCACCACGGTGTCAGCCATGGCGCCAGCCACAGCATACACCACAGTGCCAGCCACAGCATCCACCATGGTGCCCAGCCATGACATCCACCACGGTGCCCACCACGGCACCAGCCACAGCATCCACCACGGTGTCAGCCATGGCACCAGCCACAGCATACACCACAGTGCCAGCCACGGCATCCACCACAGTGCCAGCCATGACATCCACCACGGTGCCCACCACGGCACCAGCCACAGCATCCACCACGGTGCCAACCACGGTGCCCGCCACAGCTGCCCCCCTGAGCCTCTCCTCCACCCCAGGCTCCCTGTGTAACACGTGCCCCGAGAAGTGGGTCAACTTCCAGAGGAAGTGCTACTACTTCGGTGAGGGCCCCAAGAGGTGGATCCAGGCCCGGTTTGCCTGCAGCAAACTGCAAGGGCGGCTGGTCAGCATCCACAGCCAAGAGGAGCAGGTGGGCCTGGGCTCAGTGGGCAGGGGGGTGTGGACCCCCACCTCGACCTCTTGCATGGTGGGAGGGGCCCGGGCACAACTCCCCAGCGCTTCCAGTTCTGTCCTGCTCCCCAGGACTTCCTGGCCAGACATGCCAACAGGAAGGGCACCTGGATTGGCCTCCGGGACCTGGACAGAGAGGGGGAGTTTATCTGGATGGACCAGGGCCCCCTGAACTATAGGTAAGGAGGGGGAATGTGGCGGGGGCGAGGCCCTGACTCAGAGAGGGGGTGCCTCTCTGCAATGACCGGCTTGGGGGGCAGACCCAGGTGGAGGTGAGGGGATGTGGGGGGAGGGCACTCCTGGGCTGCAGGGATGGGGTGGGCAGGGCCCAGACTCTGACGGATGTGTCGAGGCTGAAGGCAGTAGGGCTCCTTCCTCCTCCTCCATTCTCTGATCCTTCTGCTCCAGCAACTGGCGGCCGGGGGAGCCCAACAACGGGGGCCAGGGCGAGGATTGCGTGATGATGCAGGGCTCCGGAGAGTGGAATGATGCCTTCTGCCGCAGCCGGCTGGACGGCTGGGTGTGTGACCGGCTGGCCACATGCTGACCGCCCACCCGCCACCTCGGCCCCCTGGGGTTCACCGGGACGTGCTCCGAGACCCAGACCCTGACAGTCCCCAGCCCACCTGCCAGGTGCACCCCTGCGTCGCTCCCCTGCCCCAGACACAGAAACAGCCAGGCCCACAGCTGGGCTCTGAGGACCCTCAACCATTTGTGGCTAAGGGCCCGGCCACATTTTCTCCTGCCCAGTCGGAAGAAGGGCTGTTGACCCACCCCCAGGCTCCTGCCAACTCCCCAGAGGGCCTGTCCCTTCCTCCTCAGCCCAGCTGGCTGTCCCCACGTCCCCGCCTTCGAGTGCTCAGAGGACCACCTCGGAGCAGTGGCGGCTGCCTCAGGCCCCCGTGTGCTTCCTCTGTCAGGCCCACCCACCGTCTGCTGGAGTCAGGAGGAGACCATACCCCCACCCCACCCCTGGGGCCTGGTACACAGAAGGCACTCAGCAAATGCCGGCAGGCCCAAGGGTGGCCTGCTCACCCAGTCCAAAGTGCGGGCCCCGCCCTGGCACGGGTTTCAGGGGGTGTAGGTGGCACCAGTCCCAGGCTTGGCCAGGGTCAGTCCCTGCACCAGAGGCTGAGGAGGGGGGCAGGCCAGGATGGCAGGACACACCGCGTTAAACTCCTCGCCCGCCCACCCCACCCCCAATTCCTAGCCTAAAAAAGGAACATCCAGTCTGCTCAGTGGTTCTCAGGCCCCCTGGAGGGGAATCCATGAGGAGAGGCCCACACTGGACCACCCAGGACCTGGGAGCCAGGGGCCGGGCCAAGGGGGCTGGGGAGGGCGCCCCAGGGGCACCCAGGGGTCCTGGGGCCAGGAAGGGCCAGGGCTAGAGCTAGCTCTAGGTCACCTGTTGTCTACTCACTGCTCACCCGATTTCTGCCTCCTCCAGACCCCCCTTGGAACTCCAGGCCAGTGTGTAACTGCCTACCCACTCTGCCCCTCAGGCCAACGTTGGGGTCACACTCAGCACCTGTTTCCCTCACTGCCCCCCCACCCCCTAATCCTCAGGGAAATCCATGTGCAGAATCTGCCCACTGCTCACCACCTCCAGCAACTGCTTTGGTGTAGCCCTCATCCTAGCTTGCCTCAATCTCCTTCACTGTCCCACACCTTCCAGAAGTTTCCTTCTGGCTGAGAAAAATAAACAAAAAACAAAACCCAAAGTCTTCCAGGGTGCTTTGCGATTGCAGAATCCCTGCAGCTTGCCTTGTTTCCCCAGCTTCACCTCCGCTCTCTCCTCCCCCAACCCCAGCGCCCACACCAGCCTCCGCACTGGCCCTTACACATGGAGGCTCACTCCTGCCTCAGGGCCTTTGCACATGCCCTCCCCCCTTGCTCCTCAGTGAGGGCTATCCTGGGCTCCCCCTCCCTCCCATTTAAAATGACACCCCTGACTCCAGATGCCTTTTATCTCACCCTACTTTCTCACCACAAAGTCTTCCCCTTCCAAGAAAACGTGTCATTCACTGATCTGTGTGCTCTCATCTCCCCCGGGCTTGAATGTGACCTTCAGGAGAGCAGGAGCTTTTGTTTTGTTCTCAGCTGTGACCCAGCACCTGACCCATAGCAAGTGTTCAATAAATATCTGTGGAAAAATGAATGTGTACCCACGGGCAAATGACCTCTTCTCTCAGAACCTGCTTCGTGGTCTATTAAATGAGGGGAGGCATCACGCCTGCCTGGTTCACCAAGGGCTGGTGCTGGGTTCCTCTTCCTTACTCCACTCCCCCATCCCGTCCCCCCTACTCCCCCCCCACAATCTGGGGCTTCAGTAGAGACTGTATCTGCAGCCCAAAGCATCCTGTCAGAGACACTTCAATGGGAAACCTGCCCGATCTGTTCTTACCCGCCCCCTCAACCTATAGATTGTTCACACCTCCCTCGTCCACAAGTCCCTATTCACCCTCAGCAGGGAGAAACAGACCCTGGGCCGTCTCCCAGCCTACAAGCTCTCCAGCATCCCTCCCTAGGGGAACAGCCCCTCTCTTCCCCTCCCACTCTCTCTCTCTGGCATCCTTCACTGCTGGGCCCCTGGATAGAGCTGTCTGGCCCATTCCTGCCCCTTGCCCCTTGCTTCTGCCATCTGCCCCTCACCCGGCAGGCCCTAGAAGCCACTTTCCAGGGGCTCCAGGGGGGCACCTCAGGAGGCTAAACCCAGACTCCTGCACTTCTCCCTGGCTTCCCAGCATGCCCCGGCTCACTCCTCCAATCCTGCACCTTCCATCCTTGCGAGGACCGCCCTCCTGGACTTCAAATCTCAAATCCTGGTTGGCCTCCTACACACTGCCCCCTCACCTGATTCAGACTGCCACCCTGATCACCCCCTCCCCCAGCTCCCTTGGGGCCCCTCCCCTCCCCCAGCCAACAGCTGTTTCCTGCCCAAGACCATCCCCGGTGCGACACATGGTAGGGGCTCAATAGTTCCATCTATGCTGTGGATGCTCATGTCCTTTGCTGGGTGCTGAAGCCTATCCCACCCCTTGCTGGAATAACTGGAACCGCCCCCTGATCAGACTTGGCACCCGGGCTCTCCCCACCTCATGCTGACCTCCACAAGGCATCCCAAAAAGCAACTGAGAAGCTGCATCCACCCCACCCCTAGACCCTCCGTAAACAATTCGGGGACCCAGCCGAGGGCACCTGCAGTTCTCTTTCACATCAGACTTGAGATTCAAGTCTGGGAGGGGGTGCCTGGGTGGCTCAGTCGTTAAGCGTCTGCCTTCAGCTCAGGTCATGATCCCAGGGTCCTGGGATGGAGCCCCCGAATCAGGCTCCCGGCTCTGCGGGAAGCCTGTTTCTCCCTCTCCCACTCCCCCTGCTTGTGTTCCCTCTCTCGCTGTCAAATAAACAAAATCTTTAAAAAAAAATTTTTTTTAAAGAAAAAAGAAATTCAAGTCTGGGAGGAGAAGGGAAGGAAGGAAAATTTGAACAAGTTCCCCCCCCCAAAAAAAATCTGGCAGGATTTACCTTGGGGAGGAGGAGTGACCAGGAACTCAGGGAGGGTGGTGGGCCAAAGGGAAAGGAGCGGCTGCCTTAAGCGTCAGATTTTACTTTTTAAACAAGAAACACACAAGAGCACCTGGCTGGCTGGGTCGGTAGAGCATGCCAACTCTTAATCCTGATCAGGGTTGTTGAGTTTGAGCCCCCTGTTGGGTGATTACTTAAAAATAAAATCTTTAAAAATAAAATAAAGGAACGCCTGGGTGGCTCAGTCAGTTAAGCGTCTGCCTTCGGTTCAGGTCATGATCCCGGGGTCCCGGGATCAAGCCCCGCATGGAGCTCCCTGCTCAGTGGGGAGCCTGCTTCTCCCTCGGCCTGCTGCTCCCCCTGCTTGTGCACTCGCGTGCTCTCAAATAAATCTTAATAAAAATTAAAAAAAATAAAATAGGGGTGCCTGGGTGGCTCAGTCAATTAAAGATGTGCCTTTGGCTCAGGTCATGATCTCTGCTCCTGGGATCGAGCCCTGCGTTGGGCTCCCCGCTCAGTGGGGAGTCTGCCTCTCCCTCTGACCCTAATCATGCTCGTGCGCACGCTGTGATAAATATAGAATCTTTTAAAAAATAAAAATTTAAAAATAATAAACAAGGCACATAAATGTGTTCATAGATCATCGATATTACCTTCAAAATATTGTAGGCACCCAGATGATTCTGAAGTGAGCCCACCCATTTCCCCAGGTCTCTGGAGGCAGAGTTCTCTCCAAGTGTGACCCCTGGAGCATAAGCAGTTCCTGGGAACTTGTTAGAAATGCAAATCTTCAGCCTGCCCAGCCTGCCCAGATCTGCAGAATCTGAAACTCTGGGGGTGGGGTCCAGCCACCCCAGTTGCAACCTACTCTGTGCCCTAGGGCACTGCTTCTCAAAATAAGGTACACAGGACTCCCCCGGGGATCTTGCTAAAATGCAGACTCGCAGTTGGCAGGCATGAGGTGGGCCTGAGGGTCTACACTTTGACCAGCTCCCAGGAGATGCAGATGCTGCCAGTGGTGGAATGCACTTTGAGCAGCAAGGGTCTAATGCAGGGGTCAGCCACCACACTCTGCCTGCTTTCTAGGCACCCAGCTACACCCAATCCTTGGCCTACTGCTGTCTACACCGCAGGGTAGCTGGACAGAGACTGCTAGGCATGAACTACTCACTAACTGGGACTTTACAGAAAAAAGCCAGCCTCTCGTCTAAAGGAGGCTCTCTCAGCCTGATCCCCACCCCCACGCCAGCTCTCCACCCTGGCCTCCAATTGTGATTCCAGAGAGTAGCAGCATTCTCCCACCTCCAGCTAACACCACAACTCCTTCTGCAAACTGACCCCCACACTGCCCCTGGCCTCCCCCCAGCCCCAACTGTAATCCCGGGCTGGGTGGGGGAACGTGGCCCACGCCCACCTCGCTGCTGTATTATAAACATGCCTGGGTCTCGGCCTCCCTCACCAGCCTGAGGCAGGCACCTGGGTCAAGGTGTCAGGTGGATCTGTGAGGCCCCCCACACGAGACACAAGACACATTTGGGAAGGGGGCGACTCTCTGCATTCTTTATCTCCCGTGGGGGTCAGCGGCCCTCCAGGGCCCGGTCTCGGGCTATGACCGCCTCCTCAAACTTGATCATGAGTGTGGTGCCCTTGTGCCAGTGCGCCGTAACCTTGGCAGGGAAGCCACTGTGTGTGAGCACAGCCTCCACGATGCCCGCGGTGAAGCTGGCACAGTTCAGCGTGCTGTTCTCCTTGGGCACAGAGATGTAGGTGTTGATGAGCGGTTCCCGCTCTATGATGTAGAAGGTGCGGGCGTCATCATTGGCCTGCTCCAGCTTGTCGGCCTCTTTGCCGAACAGCGCCTTCCACACCGCGCCCTTGACGAAGAGCAGGGCACCCAGCACCTTGGTTTCGCGCCGGGCACCCTTTTCGCGAGCCACCAGCGCATCCAGAACGCGTGCGCCCACCTGGCGGCCCAGGGCAGCCAGGCGTGCCTGCAGCTCGGCCACTGAGAAGACCCGGCTCTGGCAGTGCTGCACCAGCTCGGAGAAGAGCAGCGCGAAAGCGCTCAGGCTCACCTCGGTGCGGGGCCGCACCAGTGCGCGCTCCAGCAGCGCCGACTTCCCGCGCGTAAAGCGCGCCTCCATGCTGCCGCCGACCTGCTGGGACACAAGGAACCGCGTGTCAGGGGAGGGAGATCGTGGAGGAGCACTGCCCTCCTCCACCCGTTTTGTGTACTCCACCGCTGACCTCCCATGTAGGAAAAGAAGAGAGGAAGGAAAGGGGGCATCCACCTGCACGTAAAGCACGCCTCCTCCAGTAAAGGGAAATGGGGAAAGTAGCTTTACACCTTTGGCGAGGAGAGGGTTGGGCGGGGAGGACACGAAAAGACCAGAAGGGGGGACCAGAAACCATCCCAACCTTCGAGTTCCAGCTGATCGCTCCCACGTGAAAAGCACCTTCGTGCCCCCTCTGCCACCTGTGGGAGCAACTAGAGAACTAATGCACGGGGGAGGGGGCAGGGATGGGGGGGCCGTCAGAGGTCTCTCGGGCACTGTCCCCCGCAAGCCTCCAGAAGCGACAGCGCTGACTTCCTGCAGATGAAAAAAATTTCCCCGCCTCTCCTCTGCGGAAAGCCAAAGAAACCAGAGAGGGGAGTGGGGTGTGTCAAGACCAACAGCCGGGAGGGTGTGGGGCTTGGGGAACAGACAGACGACAGACATCGGACAAGCCAGGAGGAAAGGGCTCTGATAGGGCCCATCTGGCATGCACGAAGCACGCCTCCTTGAAGATGCAGATGGGCTTTTGTTTGTAAGGAAGACTGGAGGCGGCCGCCGAGAAGGCGTTGGGAACCCCTCCACCTCCGTGCCCTCCAGAAAGGTAGCGAGACAGTGAAGATAAGGTGGAGGAGGCGGGCTGTGAGACCCGGGGTTTGGGGGAGCCAGGGGGGGCGCTGTGATCCTCCCACCCTAGTGCACCAAGCACTGAGACCGCCACGACGCTGACCTGCGGTGAGGGTGGGAAGAAGGAAGCGGATGGGGGGGGTCCCTCTCTTCCCCACCGCCGACCCTCGCCCACTCTTGTGTGAAGCCGCTGCCAAGGGTGGAGTCGGGAGAAGGAGCTGAGAACCCCGTTCCCACGAGCAGGAAGGGGTAAGAGGCCGGAGGGGTCGGGGGATGCTGGGACTGCCCCCAACGAGGTCTGCGTAATGGGAAGACCAGCGCGGGGGGAGTCCAGGGGCTCCAAGACGCCCCCCAGGTACGCATCCGTCTACACCGGGACGGCCCAGCGCGCGAGATGGGAGGGGGAGTGTTGCCTCCCCCCCCACCGGGCTGCGATGGGAGCCAGTAAGCTAAGCCGCGGAAAGGCCGGAGCCCCGAGACCCCCGCGCCAGCGTGGACCCGACAGGGGGCCGGGGAGGGACCCACCGTCCTCACGGACCCTTTGCGTGGGCCAAAGCGGACAGACCCGGGATCGCGGACGCCGAGGGATTCCCCAGGCGCGCGGGAGGCTGGGGGTCCCGCAGCAGACAAGGCCCGGCGCGGAGAGGGGTCGCGGGCGGGGGGGATCTCACCAGCGTACTGCGGCTGTTGGTTTGGCCGAGTTGCTTTACGGCGCCGTAAAAAGCCTTGAGTGCGCAGGCGCTGCGGCGGGACGGGCTCGTGGGCGGGGCGCGCGCGCTGGCGGAGATTCCAGAGAGCGGCCACCAGGGGGCGCGCGTGTTCGGGGCGCCCGACCGAGGGGTGTGGCCCTGGGGCCGGGGGCCGGGCTCGCTTGGGTTGGCTCGCTCTCAGACAAACGGTAGCGCGGATGGTCACCGGTTGGGGGCGCACATTTGACGATGGGCCCACGTGTCTGTCTGAGGGGCATACATGTCTGTTTGTCCTAGGGGCACACCTATGCCTTAAACACACATTCTCTCGTCTTGGGACACGTGCATTTACTCAGGTACATGTTCTCTCAAGGGACATGCATCTGGGGCGCCTGGGTGGCTCAGTCCTTAACTTTGGCTCAGGTGCCCCATATCGGGCTCCCTGCTCAGCGGGAAGCCTGTTTCTCCCTCTCCCACTCCCCCTGCTTGTGTTCCCTCTCTCGCTGTCAAATAAACAAAATCTTAAAAAAAAATTTTTTTTTAAAGAAAAAAGAAATTCAAGTCTGGGAGGAGAAGGGAAGGAAGGAAAATTTGAACAAGTTCCCCCCCCCAAAAAAAATCTGGCAGGATTTACCTTGGGGAGGAGGAGTGACCAGGAACTCAGGGAGGGTGGTGGGCCAAAGGGAAAGGAGCGGCTGCCTTAAGCGTCAGATTTTACTTTTTAAACAAGAAACACACAAGAGCACCTGGCTGGCTGGGTCGGTAGAGCATGCCAACTCTTAATCCTGATCAGGGTTGTTGAGTTTGAGCCCCCTGTTGGGTGATTACTTAAAAATAAAATCTTTAAAAATAAAATAAAGGAACGCCTGGGTGGCTCAGTCAGTTAAGCGTCTGCCTTCGGTTCAGGTCATGATCCCGGGGTCCCGGGATCAAGCCCCGCATGGAGCTCCCTGCTCAGTGGGGAGCCTGCTTCTCCCTCGGCCTGCTGCTCCCCCTGCTTGTGCACTCGCGTGCTCTCAAATAAATCTTAAAAATTAAAAAAAATAAAATAGGGGTGCCTGGGTGGCTCAGTCAATTAAAGATGTGCCTTTGGCTCAGGTCATGATCTCTGCTCCTGGGATCG